CCAGGGCGCTGGCGGCGCCCGCCTAATCCTAGCTCTGGCAGCCGCCTCCCGGCCGGGCTAACGGAAACCGGCTCCGGGATGACCGCGGGAAGGCGCTGCTTCAAGGGAGGCCCGGGGTTGTTGGCATCTCCCGGGGCCTCTCCTGGTGGTCTGAGGTCTGAGCCCTCGGAGTCAGAGGGCAGGTTAGAATGTGGAATTCAGCGGCGTTCCCTGCCTGGGGATTGGGGGAGGGGAGGGCATCCCTCCAGGGTCTGTGCTTTCCCGCTGCGAGTGGCCCGGCGGTCTGCCCTAGAGCTCGGCGGCCTCTCCAGCTAAGGGGCGCGTGCGATCAGAAGACCCAGGCGATCCTTCCGCAGTGTTCTCCTCCTGCGTAAAATTCTTTCTTCGAGAGGTCCTGTGGGGGTTCGTGCAGTAAAGGACGCATAGTGCCCAGTACAGGCCCAGCCCTGAGACAAAGGAAGGAGAGAGGAAGGGAGGGATAGATAAGAAAAGCCTTATCACGTGCTCTTTAAGGGCTCTAACAAAGCTTATCCTAAGTGAAAGGGGACTTGGCGATGGCACCAGACCCAGAACCTAGGCCGCGCCACCGAGAGCACCTGGATGACCCTAGGCGTGTGGTTTGGCTGATGAGGCTGGGGTCGTCGGCTGCAAGCGTGCTGAAGACCCGAAACTCTTCTAGATGAAACAGAGCTGTCACGCCACCACTTCAGTTGGTTTCTGCCACATAACCTCAGCTGAAAACACACAAGCCACTGGATTTTAACCTCTTCCATCCCCCGACCCCAGTCCGGGCGCATAAGCAGCACAGTCAATGATTTAGCCAGTTTGAAAGGTGGTTCTTTATTGTTCATGCTCTATCGATTTCCTCTTTATCTTTTGTTTAATATGTGCTCTTGTTACTTGATGTAAGGGAAACCTCTTGCTGGGTCGTTTTACTGTGTTCACCTTTATTATATTTTTATATTTTCTCATCCTGCTTTTGAAAGGAAATTTTCTTTCAAGGCTTCTATGAAGGGCAAATCTTAAGTGTGGCTAATCTGAATTAAAGTAGATGGCAATTTACGATAGATTTCATGCTGAATAGGAGTCATCTTAAAACATTCATGGCAGGTGTTTGTGCAAGTCAAAATGCCTTCATAAGAAACTTTAAGGAGCTGTCCAAATTTTGAGATAGTGAGGATTTGATTACTTGAAGCCAACCAGACATAGGTTATTGTTTGTAGAGTTTTTCGTTTGTTTGTTTTTGTGGGAGGAAGGGGGTAGTGTCAGGTGAAAAACTGTATTATCTGGTTTTCCAGGATGCAATTTCTCTGGGTGCACGGAAGAAAGAGTAATTCCTGCAGACACAGACTGTTTTGACTACTTCTGTGCACGCTCAGATCATGCTCCAGAAACCCCTTTCCATCACCCGCTTTACATCTCCACTGAACATCCTGCAGACATCTCAACTCAACATGTTCAAAACCAAACTCATGGTCACCTCTCTCAATCCTCCTACTCTCCTTCCTGTTTCTGTTAATATCATTGAACTGGTCACCTTCGTGTGAAACTTCAAAGTGACCTCTGATTCTTCTCTGTAGTGTCTGTCACATCCAATGACTTGCCAAGGGCCACAGACGTATTCCTTTCAAAATATTTATCACATCTCCCCCTCCCATCCATTCCCACTGGCTCATTTCTTATTTCCTCATTTCTTTTCTGGCTACTGAAATGTTCTTCTCCTTAGTTCCTTAGTTTTCCCATCTCTAATGGGGGACTTGTTCCATCCTGTTTTTTGCCTTGCCCAGGCTAATCTTTCTAATGAGTAATATACATGTTAGGATTACGCTCATCTTTTATGCAGCAGGGAAAAAAAAAAAAAAGGAGCAGTGAAGGCATGCCTTCTCCCTGTAAGAAAGAGCACTTTCGAAAAGCTATGTGCATTCTTTCCTTTATATTTCATTAACTAGAATTGAGTCAAATGACCACACCTAGCTGCAAAAGAAGTTAGGAAATGTAATTTTTATTTTGCACAGGCATGCACCCGGTTAAAAATTGTTAACTATGCTTATGTTACTAAAGAGACATAGAAGAATGATTTTGGAGGACAATTTCTTCATATCACTTCTTGTTCAAAAGCCTTCAGTGGTTCCCACTGTGTTAAGAATGTGTTCCTCATCCTCGTGCTGAAGGCCTGCCCTGACCTGGCCTCAGCTTATTCTTCAGCCTTGCGTCCTCTCTGCACCCAACAAAAACACAACTGTGTCCTGTTCCCACAATTTTTTTTTTTTTTTTTGCCTCTTCTTCCAGTCCCAGTTCAGGCACCACTCCCTCCTATAGCCTTTCTGAATCTCCTTTGCTCCAGCTCTGCTTGCTGCCCACAGCTTTCTGTGCTGTTCCTGTGCCCTCCAGAGCTGTTTTAATACTTAACCCTCCACTAGGAGTGGGGAACTCCATGATAAGTGTGGTGCCTGGGGGGAGCTTTTTTGGGGAGTGCTTTATCCCATGCCAAATATATCTGCCATTGAATCAGCAAAACCTCTCCTTGGGAAGAGGTTTTGGGCCTCTTTCAGGGATTGGCTGCCCTGTAGCCTCTTAGCCTACTTGTGAGGCAAACCAAGAAACAGGTGTTCTCTCCTGGTTTCTGAGCAACAGCTGGTAATGCTACCATATCTCTCTGTGAAAGGGTTTCACTTTCTGCCTCCTTCCTCCCTACCTTCCTCTCTCCCTCTCTTCCTCCATTCCCTCTTTCTTTTTTCTTTTTATCTTTTTAAGACAGTCTTTCAGTATTTCCTGGGCTAGAATGCAGTGGCATCATCATAGCTCACTGTATTCCAAACTCCTGGGCTCAAGTGATCCTCCTGCCTCAGCCTCCCAAAGTTCTGGGATTACAGGCATGAACCACCATGCCTGGCCTCTCTTTCTTTTCTTGATCCTTTTCCTTTTACTCTTTTGTAACTATTTTTGTCTTTTCATAAATTTATTTGCCTCCTGTTTGTAGGTTTTTGGAAATTAAAATAAAAAAAGTTAATTTCTGTATTAGACACTTTCCCAGCAACTTTTATATGTATTCTCTGTGTGTTCTAAATGTATATAAGTGCCAAATTGTAGAAATACATTAAAAGTGATCTAGCCTGACCCCACTCATCTTCACCCCCACCACTATCTGATGCTTGAATTCTGTGACAGGTAGAGATATTGTTCAGTAGGTATCTCCTCCCTTCTTCCTTCTACTTGGATAGGACTATACGTACCCACCCTATTGACTTTGAGCTTGGCCATGTGACTTTTGGTCAATGGAGTAAGTGGATGTGATGCAAGCAGAGACATCAAAATGTTTTTGTAGAATTGTACTTGGACTTCTGTATACAGATGCTGCCCATTCAGCCTGGCACCAGAATAAAGACAGAGGAGTGTATCTGAATCCAACCTGTACCTTGACCAAGCCCAGCTGCCCCACAGCCTAAAAAAGAGCACCCCAGGCAATGCACAGACTCGTGAGTGAGAAAAACCTGTTCCAGTTGTCTATTACTGTACAACAAACCACCCCAAGCCAAACTGGCATAAAGAAAGCAACAACCACACCCAAACAGAGTGGCACAAAACAATAGACATTTTATGATGCTCTTAATTTTCTAGGCCAGAAACTCAGAATACAGCAGAAGGTCTCATCTCTGTTCCACAATGACTCAGACCCCAGCTGGGGTGGCTTAATGGTTGGACATGGTTGAGATAGCTCAAATGGAGTGCTATTCCTGCTGATAGCTATTCCTGGCTATCCACTAAGATCTCTGATTCTTTCCCACATCTCATCTACTGAGGCTGAAGTGTCCAAGATGGCTCTTTTCACTCATATGACTGGCACCTGGGCTGGAATAGCTGGGGCTGGTGGGCCATCTCTGTCTTCCCTCCACTCCCAACGTGGCTAGTTGGACGCGTAGGCTTCCTCACAATATGGCAACCTCACTGAGGTCAAACCTCTTACACAGTTGTTGACATCCCTGAGAGTAAGAGTTATAAGAAATGTAGGAAGAAGCTGCAGCCTTCTTCTGACCTAGCCTCAGAAGTCCCAGAACATTACTTCTTTTGCATTCTGTTAGTCAATCAAGTCGCTAAAGGCAGCCCAAATTCAAAGGAGGATAATTGGCTATTGTGAATAATGCTGCAATAAACACGAGACTGTTTACTCAGTGGGGAGAGTAGCAAAGAATTTGCAGCCATGTTAATCCACAGTAAAATTCCTGCTTAAATGCTTGTGTCTCGTGGGCCAGAGCAGCATATTTATGTCACTACTTCCTAGTTCTGGTGTTTCTTAAGATGCTATTTGAAAGTTCCTTTGGACAATGTCTTCATTAAATGTCTGGTAAAACTGGGTATCTATTGCAAAAGAGTGAAATTAAACTCTTATCTCACACCATTTATAAAAGTTAACTCAAAATGGATTAATGACTTAAATGTAAGACCTGAAACTATAAAACTACTAAAAGAAAATACAGTAAAATGGCTCCATGAGGTTAGTATGGGCAATGATCTTTTTTTTCCTGCAGTTTTGGCTGGGGCCGGCTTTAACCCACCACCCCCAGTATATGGGGCCAGCCTCCTACTCCTTGAGCCACAGGTGCCTCCCAGCAATAATTTTTTTTATATGTGACTGCCAAAACACAGGCAACAAAAGCAAAAATAGAAAATGGAATTATGTCAAACTAAAAAGCTCCTGCACAGCAATGGAAACTATTAAAGTAAAAAGACAACCCACAGAATGGGAGAATATATTTGCAAAACAT